GGAAATCTTGGACGTTTTCAATTAGGACACACCCGAGCAGAACGGCGAAGTGCTATTATTCAACGCGCGAGACCATGCATAAAAACCGTATAGTGGTGAATTTTTGCGACATCAGCGCGCAATCTGAGATAGCGGCAGCCATCAAAAAACGTTTGTGACCGTTAACAAAAAAATTCGCAGAGCAAACAGAGATAAATTGAATTTACAATATTCTAGCAGCATCTATACTGGAAAAACACAACTGTCGAGAAATGAATAGAAAGATAAACGCATATTCTTCCCATCTAAAGCGGTTTTTTGAAAAAATCAAGCGCCATTTGCACGAAAGGACAAAAACACCTTTTTTGCCCTGTTTTTTAGCCGCAATCAGCTGTTCATCGATCCTCTCCTGCTTGAGACCCGAAATCATGCAGTTTTGTGAGTTTGAGCTGTAAGTTGCACCGTAACAATACAACTAAATTGTTCCATAAGTTACTCATGAGCAACTTAGGGAATTTTGCCCAATTCTCCTCTTCGGCACCTATCTCCATCGCTTCAACTTACTTACTCTTGTTAGATCTACCCTCGACAGGCCGGATGCATTAACATCCCCGTCGGTGAGGGAATCGCAGCTGAAGAAAAAGCTTTGTATCCTGAAGTTCCAAACTTCTGGATTTCACCCTGTAAACTTATTGATAAGTATTAACCATCCTTCATTATCAACAAATTAAACAGGAGGAAGAAGCTGCACATGAAGCATTTTGCAGCTTTTCGTGTGATCCCCTGATGATCACCGGCAACCGACCGTCTTTTCTTCAACATCATTTTTCTTTGGAGTTAACGAAATTCCAAAGTCATATAGATATCTAACCCAATAGTGCTTAGCATGTTGCTGGTAAGAAAAATGATGTTTTGGAGTAATGAAATTTGCGATGTACCACAAGTCAAAAGTTGGGGTTGTCAAAAAAATCGGTTTTTCAAAAACTCATCTATTCTTATCAGCAACTTGCTTAGCACGTTGTGTTAGATAATCTGTACAAATTTGGAAGGTTCTCGTTGACTTCGAAAAAAAATGACTTTGATGAATTCAGTCGGGAGCTGGGGATCTTCAGGGGATCATACAAAAAGCGTCTCATGCGAGCAGTACGAGCTTTCGTCGCTGCAACTTGTTCGCTGTGTACAGAGTCACATTTTGTTGGGCTCAAAATTGCGTAGCAGCGGCTTGTAATAGGTTGATGCAAAAGGAATGGCCGATTTGCGAATTCTCACTTTGATGTGCTATAACTTTCTGAAAGATCCACATTTATGAATGCGGTAAAGACCTCCAGAAGCAGAAATCCTTTCGCAATACAGCGCATACTTAGTTATACTCAAACCATGAACGGGAAGAGAAATACGGACTAAAAGACAAAAAAGGTTCTTCTGAGGGAACCTTGTTTTTGACAATTCATAACTTCCTTCAGAGTTTCTTAGTATGAATGAAAAGTGGCCTATCTTGTAGCCGCAAGTCAGTAGTACAAAACACCTTAAAAAGAATTCAAACAAAAAAGTTTGCGAGAAAGAAAAAATTGAAATTTAAAATTTCTCAGTTTTTCAACATTTTTTCAGTGTGCCTCAAGGTCCGGAATATAGAATTTTCTGATTTTCTTCGTACTGAACAGCTGGATGTTTTTGCAAAAACTGCTAATAAATGTCCTAGCTCTACGCTTACAGAATTGAGCAAAGCTTTGGCGACTGACTTCCTCAAAAGAAAATTATGGGTCATAAAATGACCGCAACAGCTACCCATATTTAGGCTCCGATATCTCAGTCTGGAGAGCTTTAAAGAATGCAATTAAGTATGCATAATGTAGAAAATTTCTATTACATACAATAGCTGAAATTTTTGAAGAAATCCCATTGATACGCGCTTGAATTCTGGCCGGAAAAGTGAGTGCAAAGAAATTCTGAATTTGGATGCAGTTATTTACAGCTTAGTAACTTTATAAGAAATGAGGATGAGAGCCCGTTTTGAGTACCGTTAGATAGAGCATGAAAACAGCTTTGCGACAATATACTACATCCATTGTAAAGAAGAAGCATTGATGGAAAAAAGTTGCCCTGAAAAAAAAACTTGGAAAATCGGCCATTTCTTTTGCATCAACCTAATAATTAGCAAGCAATGTAAATTGACTTTGTGAATATACCGATGACTTACGAAGCAGAAACTAGCGCTCATCTTTTCCTTCTCAACTTATCCGTAATTCTCTCCTACGCTTAGGCCTAAGGCATACTTCACGCGATTCTAGTCGCTGAGCGATTTTGTACCGGAACGACTGTTCATAATTGGCCGTCAGAGCGCTTTTTTAAGGCAGGACTTGATCGGTTTGCAACAAATTACAGAAGCTATGCGCCCATGTATTGGAGGACCGCGCATGATAAATTTCGAGATATCTGGCAAACCGCCAGGCCGCGTGGGCGTTGCGATTGAGCTGAATCGCGCGAGGTATGCCTTAAGCCTTAGGCTTGTATGCCAAATCGCCTCCTTCGACTCATCCGGCATTTTGTATGAAACAGCCCCAATTGTTTAATTAGATGCGCGGCGGCTACCAGCATCTGGAAGCTAAAAAAAATGCATGGGGGCAGATCCTCGCTAGAACTTTTTTGGCATTGTCAAATGCCATTTGGATTCCCCTGTTCATTCGAAATTTGCTTGAGCAACGCGTTTGTGCACGAGACTGGCGGATTTTCGCTACAACGCTGCATAGTAGGTGATCATGCCGAAGAGTAAATGACCATCCGCTATGCTTTTCGGAGCTGAACTTGCTAAATAACCTCAACTTCTTTAGATCCAGCTGACGGCTCTTGTCGAATCCTAAGTATCAAATTTCTTAGATTAAGAAAGTTGCTTTTTCCAACTTAGCGTAAAGTCCGTGGTTTTGTAAGCTTGAACAAGGGTTCCAGGTTTTGGCTAAATTTTCCACAACTTCTTCCTGTAGTGGTGATGTCATCGAGATATGCGGCTACTCCTAGCCCGCTTATTATTGCATCTACTATCTGTTGGAAAATGGACCTGATGCGGATTTTACCTGGAGGTATTTGTAGCAGGCATTATTTGTATTTGTTACAATTCCTTGTGCGTGTTGATGGTTAACATTTTTTCCAAGGCCTCTTCGGCTTCAACCTGCAAGTAATCTTCGACTAAGTAAATGTTTAGAACTGGCCTTCGTTTAGTTCTGCGAATACATCTTCCGCTGGCTGTGGTCAGTGGGTGCTGATGCAGCTGCCATGCATTGTTCAATTTTCTCAAGAAGTCGGAACGTAGACGGATTTTCCCGTTCTTCTTCTTAAAAGCAACTACTGATGCGGCTCATTCTGAGTGTTGGACTGGGGAATTAACTTCATCGGCTATAAAATGGACAATTTCTGCTTTCAATACCGGTCTACGTGTATAACGCTGGTCGATTCTTCTTCTTGAAGATTGGAACACCATCATTCCTAAAGACCAATTTGGTCTTACTATTCATGTACTTTCATTGTAGCTGATGAAGGCTTTTGCTGACTTCTTCTTAGTCAGCAACAACTTTGGCTCGAGATACTTTTCGCTAGTCACCTTTCTGCGGCAGTAGTTGTCCTACACCTCATGTAGGCAACTGGATACACCATTCCAGTTCTAGCAGATTCAAGCCTTCGGTGACCTAGCCTGTGTCACTTCCAACCATATCCCCTGTAAGCGCAGCGTTTTGTTTTCAGCGTCAAAAGCAACCGCATTCTTGCACTGTCTTTAGCGACTAAAGTGGCTCCCGCCTTCCGTCGTTAATCCGTATGGCGTTGGCAAATTGTGGGCTCTCTTTTCTAGGAGGGGGGGGGGGGGCTCGTTACGTGCGGGCATCCAGATGGAAAACGTCGCAACGCGGTGTTACAGTAACCGCGCGGGAAAGCAGCAATGTAGAAAACTTGTCAGATTTATATCACTAGACTAGCAATGCTTTTTCTATACTGTAGTGTTTTACCTTCATCAATTTGTGTCTTTTTTGTCCTTTAACAGCTCATTTTACAATTTTTGTGGCAGAATTTCAAATAATTGAGTAAACTACTATAAGAATAGTCTGTGAACCTCAACGAAACATGAGAGACTGAAAAACTATGTGCTGCGAATCATGCTGGCTGAATTCCCCGAGTGAGATCACTGGCAGCCTGTCGCGCGCGACATTTTTCAATTGGCAGCCCGCACGTAACGATACGCCCCCTTGTGGGAGGTCTTCAAAATGCCTCGCTTTGGACGCTTGCACGGTCGAAACCCCATTGACAACTGAAGATCTAATCAGTCTGTAGAATTTCACTTCCTGAAAATGTATAATATTGACATGAAAGGTAAACAAAACAACATGGAAGAATAAGGTAGCTTGCTTTGTATGCGAGGACTACATCTTAGAAAAGAGGGGGCGAAATACGCTGGTGTAAGCGGAGGACAAGTTGTCCTTAGGCACTGATACCGTCTTTCAATGAGACTCTCCTCGAAGGAGATTAGATTTTGAAGATTGGCGACGGTAGTGTTCAAAGTCCACGTTCTTTGGCTGCGCATAGCACCTCATCCGCATAATTTTTTTATGCTTCTTCATCAACCTTCATAAGGTTTAAATCGAGCCTTGTGATCCGGCAGCTTCGATTCGCGTGGACCGTACCTGCCGTACCAGCAAGCAATGCATGTCTCTTCGTTTAAGGGAATCTCTGCATGTCCTTGCTCAGCTGATCGTATTGATCGTTGCCGTCATGGGCGGCTACCCTTTGCTTACTGGTCAAAGCATTGACCAGCTCCTCATTTGCCCCTGCTGTGCTTGCAATTGCACTTGCATTTGCTCCTACTGATCGTGTATGCCGGCTTTAGAACCCATAGCCTTCTCTAAATTTCATTCATCAAAGCCAACTCTAACTTAACATGTGTACTACTGCAGCGGTTTAGACTGAAACTGTTCTCTTAGATGTAGACTCGAGCCTCAACAGAGGCTATCGTTTGTTTATCTCTATGTGAATATTTGCAGGATGTTCCTCAAGAATTGTGGAAAGACGAACATCCAATGCTTATTTGCGTTGACTTGCCAAGAATCACAGTTGCCATTTCTAATGCATACGTAGACATTCCAGCAATGGCCCGTCGCGCTTTGATTTGTACTTATGGTAAGTATTATAGTTGAAATGACAAAAAAATTTCAAAAAAACTAAAAAATTTAGAATAATCTAAATCGGCTTTTGAAAAATATTCGACCGAAGTATATTATTCGAATTGTAATTTTCACATTATTCGAATTCGAATATTCGAATAATGCTACATTTCAAAATTCGAATGAGCAAATATTCGAAATGGCGTTGGTGGAATATTCAACTATTCATATAATCGAATAACTACACATGGTCGAATATTAGACCATTCAGATAATTCGAATAATCTAGCGGCAAATATTCCTGGTTTTTCTTTATTGCAATTTTCTGCAAAAAAATTAATTGCTATATTTGATCTAGATTTGTAGCTGATGATTGTATGCGTAGCAAGTGGTAAGGATGACTGGGTTAATGTCGCTTGGTCAGGGTTCCACCTAAGAAACTGAGAAGAAATTTACTCAAACATGTAGTTCAAAATGTTTATTGTATTTTGAGACGGCTACTAAGCCTTTGTAAACCTTAGGGTTGTTTCATACTGCCTCACTGACTGCAGCAGTCTGCACTGACCGCAGCAGACTGCAGCAGACTGCACTGACTGCAGCAGACTGCAGCTGACCGCACTGACCGCAACGACCGCAGCGGCTGAAGCCTGCAAGCGGAGAGGATAAATGGTTGTGCTTTAAACAAACAACAACAATATATACGTAAAAGCAAAAGACAACAAGGTTTACAATGTTACAAAACAGGTATATGCAATGATAGGAAGAATTAGAACAAATACGAACATACCAAAGAAAACTATCGCCAAAATTTGATTGGGAAGAATTCTGATGGAACTTATGATCTTCTTATGCGCGAATCACGCTGTTTTGATAATCGTGGTTGTTTTTTCTTTTAAGATAAGGGCTGCGACCGGTGCGGTCAGTGTGGTCGTTGCGGTCAGCTGCAGTCAGCTGCAGTCTGCTGCAGTCTGCTGCAGTCTGCTGCAGTCTGCTGCAGTCAGTGCGGCAGTTTGAAACAACCCTTAGATAGGGACAAGTCCGCATTTGTTCTTTCTCACAGAAGTTTCTCCCAAAGCTACACGTTCAACATGGAAGAGCTTTTAAGATGGGTATTTGCTTGTAATTTGTTCGTGAATGTCAGCATTGCGTGAGCAACAGAGGATGGATACCTGGTCGAAGTTGCGTTTTAATACGAGATGTACGATGTCCTACAAGCATGGAACGCTAAGCCAAATCTGCTTTCGATATCCACAAAACATTTCTGGGAGAAAAGTTCTGGAAGTTTTTTATGCAAAATTTTGAAAGCCCGCTACAACAAAATAAGTCAGGATCTTAGTCCATAAGCTCAAATGGGGCCTTGATTACTACCAAGGGGTTTTAGGGAACTTCAATCTAATGAACTCATGTTAGTCGTTACTCCTTTCGAACGTCCGAAAGACCTTTTTGCAACATTTTAACTTTAGTTTTTTTACACCTCCTGACTAGAAAGGCAGCCACAGTTCGAGTATGGTGACTGACATATAGGCTGCTGTCAAAAGTCAAGCAGCTCAGGTCCTCGCGACCCTGCCTTGCTCTGGTCTTGCGTTGAACGTATCTTTCAGGTATTTTGACATGTGGGCGGTAATTAGGCGGGTAAGGCAAGTGGAGATCTCGGGATGAAGGAATGAATGTTGCCAATACGTGCTGCTCTAGAGGGATGCTGGTCCTTTACATGCAAGCTGTTCAAAGACCAGTGGTGGTCCGCTAAAGCGGCGCCTAATGACGGCTTTACTTCCTCAGCCAACTTAGAGCTGGGAGGCATCTCATCTCACTTACTGAGACGCGATTTTCAGAAGATGGTTCACCACTCCAAATGAATTATGCATAAGACTTGTTCTCCTTATGTTCTGACATGACTCGCTATTGCCTTAAAAAGGGAAACCTGCTAGCCGTTTTGTCACATAATAATTCATTTGTATGATTTTATGATTTCGGTCGGGGACGCCCGAAACAGCTGAAGTTTTCTATGGACATCGAATGTTCGAATGAATTGTTTCTAACATTTGAATTTTCGAATACGCACTTTTTCCACATCCTCGAATATTTGAATATTCAGATGGCTGTTTTCCACAATGTTTCGAATATTCGAGTATTCAAAAAGTTACTTTTCCGAGCCGTTGAATGAACGATTATTTGAATTAAGGCCTTTTTTATATATTCGACTATTCGAATATATCGAATATATGGGCTTTCTCGAATATTTCGAATAAATCATTCGAATACCAATATTTGCTTCCAACTACAGTAATTATGACCCTTAGTAGACACATTCACTTCTTGTAGAAGTGCTTGACGTCTCAAATCTTAATCAGTAATCTTGCGATTTTAGCAGCAATGTGATTTGGTCTCGTCCATATTAAGCCGCAGGCTGCGACATGCGCCGGTGCAGCCGCAGCGAAAATATGCCCAAGCTACCACAGCTTTGCGGCCTAGTTTTGTGGAACTTCTGCAAGTTGAAGTATACCGTTACGAGATTTTTTGAAAGCGTTGCGCACTTCTGCAAAATTTAGAATCTGCAATGCTTTTCAAGTGGAAAAAGGATGTCGACACAGGCTTAAGCAAAAGATGTAAAACCTTTGTGATTGGTTCCATCTTTTGGGAGAAAGTCCGCATCCAGCCATTGTTCAGTAATAATGCTGCCAGTGTTGCGTATTGAGAGTGTTGCGTATTTTTTTCATGCAGAGGTTTCTTTGGTACTTCTTCACTTCGTTGTTATTCCGCAGCTTCCAGCATCTTCGCCCATCTTTACTTTAGAAAATTCTTTGGTAAAGCTTTCTCATCTGCTTTCGCACCGGCTGTCGATTCGAGTTGTTATTGGTCCTGCTTATTGAACTTCATTGTGTAATCTCTAGGTTATCGTTGTAGCAGTCTAAGCTCCTCGCTCGCGCGTGTCTTACCTTCAAAAGCATTTCTGGGTTTATGGTCTCGCAAGAACTCTGGAAAGAACCCAAAAAAATTTCGGAGTGCTGTTCGAAAAAAATTTGTTGTCTCCTCCCTGCCTGCCTCAAACAGGAACTTGGGTATGCCTTTGAAGGAGTTTTACGAAGGCTAGCAAGTTTTTCACAAACCAGCTTGATTGTTCGTTGAGTCCTCCACATTGGGCCATCAAAATTACAAGCTTCTTTAACCTGTGACCATTATAAATGAACATTCTCGTTCTTTATTGCTTTGCTATGACTACTTTACAGGATCATGACAAGACTTCTTTATCTTTGAGGTCCCTCCAGGTTCAATTAACAAGGGAAGGCTTTTCGGTTCAGAGGCCTTCCAAACAAAATCTCTACTGATGTGAAGAGCATTGAACACTGATATCGAATACATTTGGTTTCTGCTAAGCACCTCTGAACGCTGAATGTTGAGTCAAAGAAGCACAGAATACAAGAAAAATTAATCGTTGAGGTTCCTTCGGTGCTCGAATACACATGTGTTGAGTGCGTGTGCTAGACAGAAGGTATTCATGGCATAAAGCTTTGATGATCAACACTAGATTACTAAAATTCCAAAAAAATTGTTTTAGTTAGGCTTTTAATCTTTTGTGCCCAAACAACGGTCATAATATGCAGTCTACAGACGCTTGGCAGAAAACGAAAACAGATTTGGAGTCGTTTCATGCTCTCTAAAGATTCCATGTGGAAGAATTTCCTCTTACTAGAGAGGAGAGAGGTTAAAATTGCTGAAATTCGAGCAAGCTTCAATTCGGCTGGTGAAAGTGTGGAAGTTTTTTAAGTGAGTCGTTCCGTGAACGATCGTAAACAACGTTGTTCTTTCTTGAAGATGGACTTTTCATGAAAAGTAGCTGCCGAAAAAGCCTAAGATGACGATTGCCAAATTTGATATGGAGCACAAATTTTCGATCATATATTTTCCTTTAGAGGCGACATGTTTTGCGTTTCTTATAGTCTTTTACAAAATTTGTAAAAACACTTGCCAAGAGGTCAACTTCTTCCTTATTTTCGTAGAATCCAAACTGGTTCATAAGTTGCTTTGCTAAGAGGAAGATTATGCTCTTTTACAATGTAAATGTGTAGTGAAATGGCTTGACGAGGTTATAGGATCTTATGCAAACAATCTAGACGAAAAATAGATGGCTGCTTACGCGAAGCCAACACATTCAACGTCTCGAAGTCAAGCCTGCTTTTCGTTTTCTGCGCAAGTGACGTGGTACCTGATGTGCTCTACAAAGTCGGAAAAAGCGTGAACATTGGCGTTTGTACAGAATATGCATCATAAGTGCATTATCACTTAGTATCCATTGCGTGTCTTTCCGTTCTGTTCCTGTCAATTTTTAGCCGATATTTGATACAAGGGCCCCAGCAATTGACGTCAGCATGAAACATTTGTTGCCTTAGGTGGAATCTGAGGTGTAGGGATCTTTACATTTTTGCTGTCTGATTGTTGAGAGTTTTTAGCAAAATGAAGTTTGCGCGTTTGCGTCCAAGGGCGATAGCTCTCGTTGGAGTGAGGATTGAAAGGAAAACTGCCAGTGATTCTCATCTAGCAGATAGGGGAACGAACACCTTAATTAGGACCGCCTCCGCGGACTGTGCTAGTCCTAACGCGATGCACAGCAGTAGGACGAAAGGACTAGCAGCCCGCGGAGACGGTGTCTAAACGAGATGTTCGTTCCTCTACCCACTTATAGCCGGACGGTGGGATACCCGGTTAATTGTGCTCTTCAAACTAACTGAATACACCATTCGTGTATCGCTTACGCGCTGGATTTAGTCAGCATGGAGTTAGGTACGATGAGTTTTTCTTTCCTTCACACTTCGAGTATGGGCTTATTTTCTTACAAACTCTTTGAGCAGCAAATGAATACACCACCGTTTTTCAGTCTCATAAGACGCAGGATAAGGATAAGTGTCCTGAATTTCAGTTTCATGACAGATAAAAACAAGTCTTTATAAACCTCTTAAAACTCGGATTTACTGTAGACACTAAAAAAATTATACACATTCCTTCGAACAACTATACAAGCCTAAGTAGCTTTATTTATTAGTTCGCTATTCAGGTAATAATCCAAATATTCCTGCACTCCAAATTCATGAGCAGTGCTCTCAACTAGCTCATTATGATGAAAAACAACAACGCTGCGTATGCGATAGCCCGAAGTTTGAAGCAAAAACAAGGGATCCTCAAATGTATGACAGTTATCCAGAGGTAGCCACTTAATCAGCTACAGATTGTTGCACAATGTTTGTTTTCATAATTAGGGAATAATCTGTCTTGAATGCTTCCATCTTCCAAGGATGCCAGCCAAAGGTGGAGCAATTGTATTTATACTTAGCCAGTCTCAGAGTACCACATATGGCGACTGGTTTTTGGTAATGGTTTGCCAATATGACAGAAATTTTATTGAAATTCAAAAATTTGAATATTGCAGCAGAAAGTTTTCATGCAAAGATTACTCAAAATTTTACCAAATGCATTAGTTGCAATAATGGTCAACAATGGATGGTCACACGTGGAGATTAGCATGGATTATTATGAATTTATAGAAGATCAAATCGAGTGAGTTAAATTGTACTTGTCTTCAAAGGTTTTCTGCTAGCTCATTTATCTCTCGCTCAACACTTTCAAAGATGAAATGAATGCGACACTAAACGAATAACACCAAAAGTCTATCTCATTATTGAAATGAATGGCCAAAAAATCTAAAATTCCAGAGAATAGCAGTCATAAAAGCATAGGCAGGTCAAAAACAGCACTAGGCAAAGATTGACCCATCCACCAACAAGAAGTTGTTTCTTAAGATTCTCAATGCAACTATGGGTCGTTTTAAGTTCTACCGTTTTTGTATAGGGCATTTACACAATCGTGAAGAGGCGCGACCGCGCGAGACATGCAAACACCTTCCGGCAACCGCATTTTCTTGGTTTTCATCTATACTCGACTGGTTTTTCTGCTTAGGTATGAAGTACTTGGACACTGGAAGTGTGTATGAGTTTTTAAGCTTTTATGGGCGCAAAGACCGCAGTCAAATCCGTCGTCACGATTTTACAATAATTTTACCTCTTCTTCGGCTGCTGATTGTGGAAGAACAAGATTTTTTGCAAATTTAGCTTGTACCGTAAACATTTTTCCGGTAATCTTTCATGCATAATTTCGTTTTCATAGAGCTTTATTTATTCCTGATTTTATGTCTTATAATACACCAAGACGCGCAAATTTTTTTCTTTATTACCGTAATCTTGAGCCAAAAGAAGAATTTTTGGAACATTTATGTTTGCTAGATTGTGACCAGATGCTTATCGTGAATTTGATTCTAAAAAAATATTCAACTCAAAGCTTTCCGCACAAACATGACCTCTGGTGCTCCATACAACTCCCATGTAATTGAGTCATCAGCACAAAGCAATCACGGAATTCTCGCTCTATTTACTGCGATTAAGGCTTAGAACAATTACTAGGAGAAGAATCTTCCCGAGTGTCGGCGGCAAATAGAAGTAGAGGCTACAAAGAAGTGCATTTTCTAATTAGACAGCATGTTCATTTACCAACCCAGATACTTACTAAATTCCCTTATTCTTCTGATCCAACAGCAATGAATCAGGTTATGCCAAAATGTGTGAATTTCTTTTCCGACTTCTCTGGCATTACTTAGAGTACGAAGACGAAATAAAAGATAATGAGCGCAGCTTTTCCTCTTTTTAGCAAATATGTATTCAAGGTGATCGTCCCTCTTGTGAAACACAACACGCCATCGAGGGCCTATTGCTTTGCTTTGAATATGTCGAGTTTTAGCTCGTTTTCGAATAATTTCTGTCGTTTCTTGAAACGATTAATTGATAACAAACAAATAGCGAAAATACCATTTAAATCAGCTGGTTTGGTTTGGGTAGGCGTGACCTAATTGAGACTGAGTGATGATTAGAAAGCACTCGCGCGAGAGAGACGCAGGTGCGTCGGGGGCGCAAGCGGCCTCAATTAGGCCACAAAGCCGCGCCCTTCTGAAGCCAAGCCAGTTGAATAAAAGGTTACTCTGCACTGTAAGACAATTTGGAGCTGCTCAATATAAATTTACTGGAAGAGTCTACCTTTGCGGATTTGCACAGTTATCGCAACAAAGAAATCATCGAATTCAAGGGCCTGCATCCCATTAACTTATATACATATAAAACTGAATGTCTGTCTGTCTGTTTGTCTGCCTGTACGTATGTCCCGAATAAAATTTCTATTTCTGAACAGATCCAGACCAAACTTTGCACACATACACATCGGGGCGGGGCGGGTGTTACGGGCTACTTTTAGCCATCGATCAATATCGATTTTTATAGATTTTTTGTAAAGTTTGACCTGCGGGGCTAAGAGTTTGCACAGGGGAGTAGTCGAGCAAGCTGATTACGAATACAATATTAGCTTTTGAATTTGTCCATTACTTTTATCGTTTATCGATTTTTTTGCAAAGTTTGAGCTAGAGGACTGGGAGTTGGCACACGGGGTTATCGAACATGCTGATTACGATTACAGTATTTGTTTGGCGCTATTCGGCTATCCGAGTCCCAAAACTTTTTGTCGTAGAGCTTGCTCATACTTCGTCTATAAGGGTTGTCATACATGCTGATTACAGATATCACATTTTCTCCGCAGAACGTCTCCCCGTGTGGTTACGATAGGTGTATGGTAGGAAGTTAAAATCATGAATTTGGCTGGAGTTTGGTTCAGAAAGCTTATTCGACATGCTGATTACGAATATCATATGCATATTGGGACCTTTTCATAGAGTTATGGTGGTTATACGGTTTAAGATCGAAAGCATAGATTCGCTTTAAACTTCGTCTAGGGTGGTCATTTAGCGCGCTGAACATGAATGTCATGCTGATTTCGCAGGATAGTGCATTTTCTTGGGTTACGGTGGGTGTAGATGGGTCGAAGTTCCAGATTTGCTCAAAACCTTACCTGCAACGGTTCACAAGTATATCGCTTATGAATATGATGCTTGCTCGCTGTCATAACGCATTAGTGAAGTTATGGTGAGTTGCAGGATTTGAATGGACATTTTTTTGCTTTCGGGCCAATTTAGATCCCAGATAACGAAGTGGGGAAATGGCCGTTTTGCATGGCGGTCTCCAGCGCCATCCTGTTAACCTGTCCCGACGCGTAAGGCACGCGGCAAATTCCTCCCTCCCTTCTTGTTCTATGCTTAGGCAAAAGCCGCCGAAGGGTGTATCACGCGCGGCAGTGGTCCTATAAGGAAAACATTACGGTCGTGGGAAACCTTCTATACCGCACGAATTGCCTTTATCGTGGGGATTGAGTACGATATTCTTGAAACAGCACTTTAGGTGACCCCCTGTCAAGGTTTCAGGCAGGTTCATGGTTTCTACCCGCTGCCATGTACCTATCGTAACTCTGCGAAAAGGTCTTAAAACGCAACGAGAGTTTTAAACGTGGTCAAAAGGTCGAATCTCTCTAGACCGAGTTTTAACCAAAGAGATTTTGCCTCTCCGCAGTATGCCTACCGCAACTCAGTGAAAACGCCCCAAGATGCGGAAGGAGTATGGTACTCGTAATCAGCATGTCAATTAGCCCCCCTAAGCAAAGTTTCATGCATGATTTTGCTTTTTAAGTGTACCCATCGTAAACCCAGAAAATCGCGCTATCGCGCAAAATGTCTACGATATTCGTTATCAGCGGCTTGAATAACCCCCATATACCAAGTTTGAGCAAGACACACCACAAAAACATTTTGAGGCCCGGATAGCCGAATAACGCCATCAGTTTTTAGAATTATCCTTACTTTTATCGAATTGAGTTTTTTGCAAAGTTTGAGCTATGGGGTTGGGGGTTGGTGAGGAAGGTAGGTGGACATGCTGATTACTAACACAGCGGGAATGAGAAGTTGCATGTAGAATTGGGCACAGGGAAAGGTTGTTCAGGGATAGGTAGGGAACCTTTATTGTTTTTAAAAGAGCCGGGCGGAGCCGGTAAGCCAGCTAATTATCATTGAGCGCTAGTAAAAGTAGAGCGTTTATTTTGGAATATCAAAACATTTAGAGCCATACCACTCGTAAAACTGGCACGGAAATATCAAGTTCATAAGTCGAAATAGCCAATCTATAAACTGGACACCAATGAATGCAGCGTAGAGCGCCGACTCCAAATCTGATTCTCTCATCTGCTTCTTTGTGAACGAAGTTGAACCACTACATCACAAAGGCGTGAAATCATAATGCAAAATTACATAGATAACAAGTTTGGTTTGGTGTTATTCGAAAACGTGTAGCTGGTTTACTCCATATAATTCAGGCCGGTGAGCTAGAAAGGCAACAACGTGTCTAATTTTGCAATCTTGAACGATATTACTGCAATAAGACTCTCTGGGCATTTAGCAGATACGAAAAATAAATTTGCTGCCAGTTCTATGCTGCATGCAAGTGCACGCAACTTGTTTGAAATAAATAACTTTGACTTCTGACTATTTCCTTTTGAGAGTAATTAACATTTTTTCTGCTTATTACCATTGAATCTTTCCGAAACACTTCAAATACTTTTCGACGCAGTTTTTCTTCCTCTTTTTAGCAATGACGCTGTTAGCTATTTTCTTTAATTTTGTTGGAATAAACGGTAATTTCGAACCCACGGTCTTTACCATGACCAAGTTTGGCGATGTGTCAATTTTTTCATATTGAATTTCTAGAAGAGCTTTGAAAACAGGTAAATAGAGTAAACAAAGTGGAATACAATAAATTTGGCCATCTTTATACGATCTCTCAGATGTCAACAATCGCCGATGTCAACAATCTGTCAACAATTTGGTGTTAGGCCACACCTCATAGGACATCAACCGACAAGCAACTCGGGCGTAGTTCGATGCAGCTTTTTCTCTCCTTTCTAACGGATGTTTCTCCTCCCGATTCTTGAACTTTTGCGGATGAAGTTTTCACAGTTGTAATTTGCGGACGCGCCAATGAGCCCTATTCAGGATTTCGAAATTCGTCATTTCAAAGCAATGAACGCTCATTCGCTTCGTATAACTTAATTGCTGAATGATAACCTTATGCTTTATGCCGATAACAAGCACCGAGAAGTTATTGAAATTTACAAGTTAACAGAATAGATTACCGTTCAGCACTCAATTTACAAGGCAAATGAGCGCTCACCGCTTCGAAATAACGAACTTCTTAATTTGGGTAGAGTCCATTGGCGCGTCCGCATACATTATTTCATCCTTTAAAGTTCAACGAATGGAGAAGAAAAACATCATAACTTATAATAACGGGCTAAGGGTGTTTACGTGTTTGTGTGTGTGTGTGTGTGTGTGTGTGTGTGTGTGTGTGTGTGTGTGTGTGTGTGTGTGTGTGTGTGTGTGTGTGTGTGTGTGTGTGTGTGTGTGTGTGTGTGTGTGTGTGTGTGTGTGTGTGTGTGTGTGTGTGTGTGTGTGTGTGTGTGTGTGTGTGTGTGTGTGTGTGTGTGTGTGTGTGTGTGTGTGTGTGTGTGTGTGTGTGTGTGTGTGTGTGTGTGTGTGTGTGTGTGAGTGTGTCTGTTACGAAATTCGTAGGGCGGGTTCC